TAACATAAAATTTACCACCTTAACCATTTTTAAGTGTACAGCTCAATAGTGTTGTACATCATTTACACTGTTGTGCAACAAATCTCTAAATTCTTTTTGTCTTACAAAATTGAAATTCTATATCCATTAAACAATAACTCCCCTTCACCCACTCCCCTTATTCCCTAGCATGAATTTGACTACACAACTCATTGAGTTTCCAGAATCATACGGTACTTGTCTTTTTGTGACAAGTGCCCCCCTGCAGCCCCAGCACTGGCCAGGCCTATTACTGAAGGGGCTTAGAGTAGGAGACCCTGGGTCTGCTCTTTCACTCTGCTCCCACTCCAACAATCTGAAATGGAGGTAGGAGCCACAGTCTGTTTCTGAGATCCTCTGCATCCCCTGGGTTGAAGTGTAGGCAAAGCAGAGGCCTTTTTGTGTAATTGGCCTTCCACCTGGTGCTGGGAAGTCTTCTCTCTTCCTGCGTTGGCATGGTACATGGTTATCCTGGGGTCATTTTTAGCACCAGCCTAATCTCCAAGGATCCCTTAGAGAGGAACAGCCATAGCTGCCTTTGGCCCTTCCAGCTCACTCTGTCTCCAAATCTTCTGCGGGAGGGATGACTTTTACTTGCCCAGTGGTCTCAGAGGCTACTCCCAGCTCCAGCCTTCCCCCGCCCCAACCTCTGAGCTCCTTCTTATGGAACCAATGATGATGATGACCTTTTTCAGGCCCTAAAGGCTGAGGGGGACTGCAGTGAGGTATCCCCATCCTTTATTCAGGCATACCACATTGCTGATCCTTCTCATCTACTGGTCTAGGCTGCTTCAGAAACCTCCAAGTGTCATGCAGTCACTGGTTTCTACATTCACATACACCCCCAAACTCAAGGGGAGCAGAAGAGGTAATACCTATCAGGATCTCCCAGTGACTCTCTTGGTACTCTGCTACAGTGACAGCAGGGGTGGGAGGTGGAGGGACTCAAGGCAGGTGGTGGAGGGCAGTATGGGAAGGGAAGAAAGTAACACCTCCCCTGGAATTTCCAACCAACCCTCTGTCTCTCCTTTTCCTTCTCTGACTTCTTTTCTTATAGACTGGCTGAAGGTGGTAGGAAGAGCAGGCTGGGAGTTAGAGTTCAGGGTACAGGGCCTGTTAGGCTGTGCTTTATAACTCTTGTTGGTTTTTGTGGCAGAAACTTCCAGTTGCCCATGCAATAGCATTCTCCCTTCTTTCTTTCTTTTTTTTAAAGATTTATTTATTATTAATAAATAAATTTATTTATTTATAGAGCATTCACATGCATGCTCTCAAGTGGGGGGAGGGGCAGAAGGAGAGAGAGAATCTTCAAGCCCACTCCCTGCTGAGTGGGGAGCCTGATACAGAGTTCGATCCCAGGACACTGAGATCATGACCTGAGCTGAAATCAAGAGTTGGACGCTTATCTGACTGAGCCACCCAGGTACTCCTCCCTTCTTTTGGAAGGAAGGAAGGAAGGGAGGAAGAAAGGAGGGAAGGGAGGAAAGAAGGAGGGGAGAGAAGAGGGAGGGAGGGAGAGAGGAAATATCCTGTATTATTGGAGTGGCCAAGTGCCCAGATAAAAGAACTACATTTCCCAGGCTCCCTTGCAGTTAAGGAAGAAGGAAGGCTCAAAATACAAATGCAGAAGTTGTGTAGCATTAGTAAAAACCTGATAAAGAGAGATGATTTGGCTTGGAGGTGTGAGCTTTGCCCTCTTCCCCTTTCTCCTTCTTCCTTGTTGGAACAGATAATGCAGTGGCTTGATAGCTCCAGCTCTGAAGGATAGGAGCCACACTCCATCGTTGGAAAATCCAACCTCGATAGGCAGCTGTGCAGAATAAATGAGATAGTCAATGTAATGTCGCTAGTACAGTACAACGTAAAGTTGCTAGTATTTAATGAATGGTAGCTGGTATTAAATGATAAACCTGGGGGAGATCTCAGAGTAGCATTTTTCATAATCACCCCCAAAATGTAAGCAACCCAAATATCTATTCAACAATACAGTGGATAAACTGGTATGGTTATACAAAGGGATACTACAGAAGAATGAAGACAAACGAACTACAGTTACACTCCAACTTGGTTGAATCTTCCAAACATAATGTTAATCCAGAGACCAAATGCCAAAGAATATGTACTGAAGATTTCATTTATATAAAGTTTAAAAATGAACATAACTAGGGTGCCTGGCTGGTTCAGTTGGTAGAGCGTGCAACTCTTTGTCTTGGGGTTGTGAGGTCAAGCCCCACATTGGGTGTAGAGATTACTTAAAAAAAATGAACACAACTAAGTTATAGATGTTAAGAAGGCCATTACCTCTGGAAAGGAGAAGAAGTAATAATTGAAATGGACTCCTGGGAACTGACAATGTTCTCTTTTTTGAGTGGGTGCTGGTTACATCGTGTTTTGTGTACTTTTCCATATGTATGTTCATTTTCAATAAAAATTTTTTTTCCAATTAAAGGATTTAAAAAGAAGAGAGTTGACACAAAGAAAAATATTTTAAAAATAAGGTAGCATATGTAAATGACAAAATTCACAAAGGTTGTATATGAATAAATTATGTTTGAGAATTAAGGGATTGGATGACCCATGTGCCTTTATTATTTGAGGATTCAGTGAACTACTCAATAATTTGTACAGGTAGAAACTACCGTATAGCTGGTGAATAAAAACAGAGAAAGAGAGAGAGAAGAGGAGGTAGTATGAGGAGTGGCTAAGAGCATAAGCTCTGTAGTTAAAATGCCTGGTTTGGAATTCTCGCATCACCACCTGTTGGTTCTGTGACCTTAGGCAAGTTACTTAACCTCTCTCTACTCAATTTCCACATCTGTAAAATGGTAATAATGATAGCACCTATTTCCATGCTTCTCTCCTAGCTTCTGGTGATGGCTGACAATCCTTGGCCTTCCTTGGCTTGTAGATGCGTCATTCAAATCTCTGCCTCCTTCTCCACATGGTGCTCTTCTTCTGTGTGTTTCTGTTTTCTCTGTTCACATGGGCACTCATCATATTGGATTAAGGGTCCACCCTAATGACCTCATCTTAATTGATTACATCTGCATTCACTGTACCTTGGGTTAGGACTCCAACATACCTTTTTGGGTGACACAACCCAGAACATGTAGAAAAATTGGAAAAATAATAAATACCCATATGACCACCACTGGATTCAGTAATTGTTAATATTTTGCCACTTTTTCTTCATGTATCCCCTAAGATTAAAGTTATTCTTCTGCCTAACCACACTGCTATTGTTGTGCCAGTAAAATTAACAATAATTCCCTATTATCAACTAATATACAATTGCAGTAGATTGCATTATTGTTCAAAATTACTCACTTTTTACTTCCCTGTGGGAAGACAATACATCCCTGCCCTATAAGCTTTGCAGTTGACTATATTTGTAATATGTTTTAGCAAACATAATGTGCGCAGCAAGATGTACCCTGTAGTACAGAAGCCATTTGAATCATTGCTTGGGTTTTGGAATGAGAAGACACATAGTTCAGAACATCTGCCAGGAGCATAGCAGTAGCCAGCCAGGAGCATAGCAGTAGCCAGCTTAGGAGCCTATGAATGACTTGAGCAAGAAATAAATTTTTGTTTTGTAAGCCACTAAAATTTAGAGCTGTTTGTAACTGCAGGTTTTCCTGGTGCATTTAGAGCTAGTTTTAATATTTTTTGGGCCAGTATGCATTCCAGATTTTCACATTGTATTTGGTTTTTATGTCTCTTAAATCCCTTTTATTATGGAACAGTGTCCTACCTTTTCCCATCCTTCCTTCATTTCACTTTTTTTTTATTCTTAATGAAATTTATCTTTTTAAGAAGTCAGGTTTGTAATCTTATAAAAGACCCCACACTGTGAATTTGTGTGATTATTTCCTTTTGGTGTGTTTTAACTTTTTCCTCTAAGTACTTCCTGATCTTGGTTGCAAATTGACATCACCTTGGAATATTATTTTATCAGTTGTGTGTATATCCATACTACAAATGGCAGCCATCATGTCCTTTGATGCTCACATTAACTTTAGAGGGAAGCAAGGGAGTAATTGGTGTCTCCACTTAACAAAGGGATCTGAGAGAAAAGTAACTTATGTTAGGTCACCTAGTAAGTGGCAGAGCCAGGGCATAAATCCATGACATTCCCATCCTTCCTTTATTCCTGTTGTTTTGAGGTAGTTTGAGAGATATAGATATAGATGTAGATATACGTTTCTCTCTATCCCTGATTGGATATACAAGCAACTAGTAACAGCGATTGTCTGAAGTACAGAGTTAGGAGTCAGTGAGAGACTTTTCATCATGTATTCTTTTATATTACTTGAATAATTTTCGTGAGGGTAAAAAAAATAATTAGGTACTGAATTCAAAAAACCATTAAAATACTAGGGTTTAATGTTACTATTATCTACCAGCAAAAAGAAAAAATTGGGTGTTTGTGAAAAAGTTGAGTAAATTAATTTAGTACGTCCATGTGTTCGAATAAGAGCCTATTTTTCTTTTTAAAATCGCCCTTCGGAATATTTAATAACATTGGAAAGTGCTCAAGGTAAGTGGAAAAATATACAAATTACATAGGTGTATGATTACAATTTTATGTGTTCCCTGTGTAAACAGATATACAAAGAGAAAAGAGACTGGAAGGAACCATCCACAATGCTTCGAAGCGAGAGGGGTGATAGGAAGTATTTTCTTATATTTTTTGGTATAGTCCACATTTTCTTCTTTAGGAAGAAAAAAAATCACAACTAAACTTTCAAACTAGGTCAGAAAGGAATTTTTTATAACTTCGTAGGCTGACCTGCACGACGGGAGGAGAAAAGCGAAAAATCGTGTGTACAGCGAAGGGAAGAATGGAACCCTCCTTCCACCCTCGGAGGTGGATTAAGGACTACAAGGAGAGTCGAGAGAGATGCCGGCCTCCACTATGGCTAGAGCGGCCACTAAGAGACACCGGAACTTCCGGGGCGGGGCTCTGTTGGTCGTTCACCTTCCGCAGGGCGAATGTGGCCTTCTTGCAACGTTAAAGTTCGCGATTTCTGGATCGGCACTTCCGTCACTCTGAGACGGTGTTTGAAGGTGGGGGCTACCATGGCAAAGAGCAAATTCGAGTACGTGCGGAACTTCGAGGCTGACGACACCTGCCTGGCCCACTGCTGGGTGGTGGTGCGGCTGGACGGCAGGAATTTCCATCGGTGAGTGATTTCGGCTCTCGGCCACATGTTGTGCCCGCGCTTCCTGGGACTCAAACACCGCTGACCGCAGCGCTCACGGTTACTGGGTAACGCGACAGCCAATGAGCGCGCGGCATTGAGCATTCCCCCGACGTGCTGGCTATGACGGGCCTGAACGCCAGCTGATTTGAGTAAAACTGAGGCAGAGTGGGCTCGTGGTGAGCCGCCGGCCTGAGTGCCGGTGAGCAGAGACCTGTTAGCAAGGCCGTGATGGAAAATGTCACTCCCTGGTGCAGTATTTCATCTCTTCAGCCGAATGCTTGGCTATTTCGTTAGCTGTCTTTGAGGGCTGACTGTTCAGAGGCCTCTTTAGGTCTTGCTGTGGGCCATACTTTACAGTATGTTTTTGTTTCATTATTAGTAACTGGCTGCATCGACTGGACTCGAGGAAACGAGTCAGAAAAAAGGGAGAAGTGTAACAAATATGGGAATTTAATTCTTAAGTGTTATTTTAATAATGGTTATTATAACTAACATTTATTGAGCACTTCCAAGGAGCCAGGTGTAGTTACATTTTTTACCTCTCTAATCTTCAGAACAGCCCTATGAAGTAAGTATACTTTTATCTCCATTTCACAGAAAAGGGAATGGAGACTTAGCAGTTATACCCCTTTTTCTCAGGGCAGGAAAAAACTGGAGTTCTTAAGGAAATGAGTCAGGCTGTGGCTAGTAGACTTACAGCACTATTACATATCTTCCTCTGTATGCAGTCTTTTTGATATGTGGTGTTAAGGACAAACTCTCTTCCATTCATGCCCCTTTCCCTCTACTCTTCCCTCTATGAAGGTTTGCTGAGAAACACAACTTTGCAAAACCTAATGACAGCCGTGCTCTCCACCTAATGACCAAATGTGCCCAGACTGTAATGAAAGAACTGGAGGATATTGTGATTGCATATGGACAGAGTGATGAGTACAGCTTTGTGTTCAAGAGGAAAAGCAATTGGTTTAAAAGAAGAGCGAGGTAATTCCATGGCCTGGCTTCTTCAGAATATTTCCTACCAGCATTTGGTTTTTGCTCTTTTTAATTTCTGACTTACAGACTGCAGATAGAGTCTGCAGTATTTGCAACTGCAGAATGTCTATTTTCTGTACTTCGTCTGATAGTTGAACATCACATATGCCTCTTTATCTGTTTCTTTCCCCTCCATTCCTCATCACCTTAGCTTCTAGATAGATCTGGCACTTAATATTAAGACTAGAAACCGAGACCATTAGAATATTATAATATTAATGATTTATAGGTTGGCTCTAGCCAGTGACAGCCTGTATGTGCATTACAGTATTGCTTAAATTTTTAATTAAGGAGGGTCTCAAAATAGACAAATTAGATATTTCATTTGGCAGTATATTGAAACTCTCACAGAAAACAAAGCATATAATGAATTGGTATGTTTTTAAAACAATGGTTCCCTTCCTTCCAAGACTATAAAAACCCAAAACCTCTTGAACCATAAATTCACATCACATCCTACAGAGAAAAATTTGGTATTAGTAAGTTACTGATAGGACTGGAGAGGGGCGGGCTGCTTAGTTTTTCTTGGCCCAATACATTTTATCTCTTGGCTTGCTGAATAGTTTGTGTAATCACTCTGTTGCACCCGCAGGTCCTGTCATGGTTTTGAATTAATATCATGCATTTTCTCTTTTCTTGCTCCACCCAATGGCCTTACTTTTGCAAGTAAGTTCATGACTCACGTGGCTTCCCAGTTCGCCTCCAGCTATGTGTTTTATTGGCGAGATTACTTTGAGGACCAGCCCCTTCTTTATCCCCCAGGCTTTGATGGAAGAGTCATAGTGTATCCTAACAACCAGACCTTAAAGGACTACCTCAGTTGGCGGCAAGCAGATTGTAAGTAAAACCAAATAAACAGATGTAGTTAAAACCACCAATTCCATACATTAGAGGTGGTGATTTGGTTCAGTTTTGGTGCATGTGTATTTTGTTCAGAATGCAATATTTCAGGTTTTTTTAATTAGTTGAAAACAATCGAACAGTTGGGAAATTTATGTAAATACTTCCTTTTTCCAGTTTTTTTTGGGAAAAATCAGAAGACCTGGCAATACTAGGTCATCATTCCGACTTAGTATTGGACATAACCTGTGCTGGGCAGTGACTGCTGTCTTCACACACACATACACACACACACACACACACATACATACACACATACACACACACACACACACGGAAGCCAATGTGCCATAGTCCTCTACCATTCTCTCTTGTTCTCCAGGGGTCACCTCCTCTGCTTTATGTTTTGTTTTGTTTTTTAAAGATTTTATTTATTTGCGAGAGAGAGAATGAGAGACAGAGAGCATGAGAGGGAAGAGGGTCAGAGGAAGAAGCAGACACCCTGCTGAGCAGGGAGCCCGATGTGGGACTCCATCCCGGGACTCCAGGATCATGACCTGAGCCAAAGGCAGTCGCTCAACCAACTGAGCCACCCAGGCGCCCTCTGCTTTATGCTTTTATGTTCATGGTGGCCTCAGTGGGTGATTTGAGTTGTGACCCCTGCCTTACATGACTATGGTGACATGTTTGTGAGACTTACTCATTTGGTATATCTTGATTTTGCCAGAAGAAGAACTGGGAAAGTGCTAGGAATAATCTAAATCAAATAACTTTGAAAGTACTCCTAAGTGTAATTTTCAAGTTAACCAGTTTATGTAAAGCATAACTGAAATGACAGAATAAAACTTTTAGGAAATAAGTTTGTTTATACTTGACCACCTCCCCCCGCCATGTTCCCAGTATATGGTTCTGGGCATATCACTAAATGTCTCTGCGATCTCTCTACTTTAGAGAAGAGGGGAAGAGTTCTAATATTCTTTGAAGTGCAAATATTGAATAAAAATTATGTATGTATAAACAGTGCTGCTCTGTTCTCACAGGTCACATCAATAATCTGTATAATACAGTTTTCTGGGCACTTGTACAACAGTCTGGACTAACACCAGTACAAGCCCAAGAGAGATTACAGGTATAAGATCTTACTGCATTAATACTTAGCTGGGGGCGGTTTTCTATACTCTTCCATGGCATTTTGCATTCTTTTAAAGCTCTCTTTACTGGTTTGTTTTGAGAGGATATAAAAAACTAGTAGCAGCTTTGCTGCTTGCTTGCTCTGTGACTGTGGGTGAGTTACTATCTCTCCCTGGGACTTAGTGTCCTTAGCTGGAAAATGGAGTTAGTGATACTGGCTCTACCTTCCCATATGGTAATGCTTGGCTGGGGCTGCATATTGGTTGCCTTCTTTAGACGGGGCATGTGCTCTTCTTTTTCATCAGTCCCACTTGGCCTCTTCATCATTGCCATTCCCTGCTGGGTATGTGCATCGGTAAGAGTAGAAGCTCTGGGAGTCCAATAATTGTACTCAGGGACTTCTGTTTAATTTTCTCTTCCCTGCCTTAGTTCTTTCTTTTTTTTTTTTTAAGATTGATTTATTTATTTGTGAGAGAGAGAAAGTGTGAGCAAGCAGGGTGAGAGGCAGAATCTTGAGCAGACTCCCTGACAAGCAGGGAGCCTGATGTAGGGCTCAGTCCCAGGACCCTGAGATCATGACCTGAGCCAAAATCTAGAGTCAGATACTTAACCAACTGAGCCACCCAGGTGAAATAGGAAATAATAGTTCCCACCTCATAGGTTTATGGTGATAATTAAGTGGCATGATGCATGTAAAACACATAGCATAGTACAAAGCACATTGTAAGTACTTTAATATAAACACTGGCTTTCATCATTAGATGACAGCGCTGCTTGTAGGATGACTAACTCTGAAATGAGGTGATGTGTTGTAACGGCTCCTAACTCAGAGCCTGGTACGTTGCAATTACACGATAAATGGTGCTCATTAACGATGATGATGAGGATTTACAGATACCATTAATAGGAATACTGGTAGATTTATCCAGAGTTTGGAAGAGCTGAGTTTAGATTTTGTTTTTTCTTAGAAGAATAAAAGCAATTTTTAGCCTTAGGCAATTTATATAATCTTTCTAAGCTTCAGAGTTGTGTTCTTTCAAATGGAGATGGTGATGAGGGTCAAATAAGATAACATAATGTATGTAGTACAGAACAGGTGCTCTTACTGCTAGTTCCTGTCACCCTATCACAGTTGTGACTTTTGAAGCCAGTTATTTGCTACAGATGACAATTTTTTGAATTTATACATCTAAATAAGATTTAAACTGCTCTTACAATGCAGATTCATTAGTATCTATAAGAGGTTTGATAAAACCCTTCCACTTTTTGATTTGTTTGTGGAAATTTAGATAGAGGGTAGAATGGATAGGTAGGATTAGGGCAGAGAGCAGACATAAAAATCTGTTTTTGTCTTTTTATTTTCTCAGGGAACTCTTGCAGCAGACAAGAATGAGATTTTGTTTTCCGAATTCAACATCAACTACAACAATGAGCCTCTGATGTATAGGAAAGGGACTGTGTTGATATGGCAGAAGGTAATGCTGTTCTGTCCAAAGAAAAATGGAGGTCAGAAAGACCAAAGCCTGTGCCCATCCCAAGCTTTGTCTGGCCTACCACATGTATGCAGATGTGATTCCAGTCACTAACAGGAATTAGATCTTTTTAAAAATGAAATGCTATATATTATTTTGGATGCTTTTTGTATCAGTGCTAATTTTGTCAGTTTGCTAGTGATCTTTGTGGTCTAAGTGGCATCACAGATTTTAGAATTAGTACACTTACTTTTCTGTGTCCTAAGCTCTCCAAAATAAAACCCTATAAAGGGGTACACTGCAGATAGAAGGATTTTTGCATTCAAAGAACATTTCTTCCACACTGGATATCATTAAATAGCCCATCCATCCCATGACAGCTATAATATGAGGCAGTAGAAGATGTTGTATATGAGGATTCTGTCACTTGCAGAATATTCTGGAGATTCCCCAGATATTCATACTTACCAAATATTCTATAATAAGTCTGTACATTTACCTAAATTCTTAATTCCACCAATATTTTCTCTCTGTACCAGCTTCTGAGCGTAATGATTTCTCATTTATCTCCTTCCATGTAAAGTAGTTTTTCTTTTTAATGAATGTTTTCACGTGTTAAATGGTGCCTTAAGAATTAGTCATCCCACTGGCAGCTTCAGCTTATTAGTATTTTTAAGGCACATTTGCTCTTTAGCACAGGCTTGGATACTTCTTCATGCAGATGAGAGAGCAGAATTACCTTTAATTCTATAGTTATTGCTAATAAGGAACATGGAATCACTCCTTGGTTCCTAAGATCCTTTCAGAATATAGCAACATAACTTTGTAGAAGTTTTTAATTGTAAACAAATTCATAGATGTTGAGATATGTGTACCTGTATATCTACCTGATAAATATATATCACTCAGAAGTATATAAAGTAAAAGTAGACTTCCCGCATATCCCCCTCTTCTCTCCCAAACCCAGTTAACAGTGTCAGTATTTTAACTTTTACCTATAGGTGGGTGAAGTCACAACAAAAGAAGTTAAACTGCCAGCAGAAATGGAAGGAAAAAAGATGGCGGTGACCCGGACCAGGACAAAGCCAGTGCCTTTATATTGCGATATAATCGGGGATGCTTTTTGGAAGGAACATCCAGAGATCCTAGATGAAGACAGCTGATCCTTTGCTTTTTAGCCCTGGCATGCTTAACCATGCAAGACTCCCTAAGTCTCCTGGCCTTAGGTGCCCTAGGAGCCCTGCTACGAAGGACAGTGTGCTAGTAGGGACACATGACTGGTTCGAAAGGGAGCAGGGAAAGAAGGGGCGGGTAGGGGTGGTTATCTTGTTCTGCTTTAAGTAGAACCTTTTTTTTTTTTACAATGTTGGAACATGGTTCCTTCTGTAGAAGTGCATTTTTTTTTTTAATCGTGGTGCTATTTTTATAAAGTAAGAACTATTTTATGCTAGGCAGAATGAATCATTTTTAGATTGTGGCATAAGTCTTACAAAAACTTGTCAAGCTTTTTCCACCTGTGACAGAACATGAATCCAAACTTTACTCTCAACCACCTGTTCTTAACTACAAAATGCACTAACCTTGAAAATCTCACCTTTCCTCCCGTGTACTTTGACCTGGAGATAAATAATAGGTTGGTGGCTGCATGATGCCTCTGAATTCAGGAATTCCAGGGAGAATCAGGGTTTTGTGCCAGTTTCCAAGTTGGCAACTTTGGCTGAACAAATTTGTAGTTTGGAAGTCCTTGTGTAAACATTCCATAGATTGATTTTGTGGAGTTGTCAGCATGATCATTGTCTCACCAAGGGTATTTTCAAGGCCACTTAACCTCTTTCTAAAAAGAAAGAGAATTATGTGTATATGAGAAAAAGAAAGTGTGAGAATGAATGATGAGGAAAAAACATTGATTCCGTGTCCTCTAAATACTTCAGTTTTAAAAGTTACCTTCCTGCTGGACTTCCTGAAAAGGATTCTCAGGTAGCCTCTATGTAATCAGAATACTGACATTTGAATTAGCAGAGTGGTCAACACTCCCCTTGGGGTCACAAGTGGCAGGTGTCCTGGGCACCTAATAGTTCCACCTGCTGATGGGCCAGTGTAGTTGGGGGAGGAGCAGCATAGAGTAGCAGCAGTAATGGCACATTGCCAAGTTGCTGGCCTCTGAAGCCAGGGGTCCCCCTCTGAAGTGAGGATAGGTGGTGAGAGAACTCACATTGCCTGTTGTCCTCGTGTCATATTTCAGAGGAAGATTATTTGGCTCTATTAAGAATTAATTAAGGGGCGCATGGATGGCTCAGTCAGTTAAGCATCTGCCTTCAGCTCAGGTCATGATCTCAGGGTCCTGGGATCGAGTCCCGAGTCAGGCTCCCTGCTCAGCGGGGAGTCTGCTTCTCCCTCTCTGCCTCCTGCTCTCCCTGCTCGTGCTCTCTCTCTGACAAATAAAATCTTTAAAAAAAAAGAACTAATTAAGTGGCAGCCTACACTTTAGTGCCTGGTCTTGCATTACAGAATTTACAGCCACAAAGAAAATGTACTTTTGAAGGCAACGGCTGGTCTCCTTCACTAATTGATACCTCATCTGTCAGAATCATTTTTTTCCCTTCCTGTTCTTACTACACAGGAAGAGGAGATTTGGTACTTGTTTGGTAATTGATAAAATCTCTGGAAAAAAAAAATAAAGGTTTCCACTCCCTTGGCGTAGTTTTTCATTTATTTTTCTCATACAAATACAGTAATATGAATCCAACTTTTGTATATATGTGTCTTTACATAAGCCAGGATAAATGTACCTTCATCACAGCAGTGATTCACAGACTTCTGCATACAAAAATTTACTTGGAATGCTTGTTTTAAGTGCTATTCCAGCCTCCACCTCTCCCCCTGTGAAGATCTGAGGTTTGCTAATCGGATTTTTAACCAAAAAGGCTTCTGATGCCTATGGATGATACATGGCACTTTGGGCAACATGGCCCTCAGTATACTGTGATAGGCCACATGAGGCAATAAGGTAATGTAGCTCCTGACTGGCCAATGTAACATAATGGTAAGTAAATGGATAGCATTATATGTCAAAATTTATACAAATTATATCTATTTTTATAGGTATCAATTATATAGATAAATTTAAATAATAGGCATTAAAGTACAGACTTTCAGGACAAAACCACCCAAAGAAATGTGCTTCCTGTGGGTGCTGTGTGATACTATCAAGGCTCAATTTGTCATAAGATAGGGGGACGAACACTTAAATCGTTGAACTAGCAGCAGTTTGCAGCTTTGTTTATTGTTTGGGCAGAAGTTTTGAGCAAAGCAATAGATGTTTAATAGTCCTACCATAACTAAACCTGTAGTGCTCTTAGGAACACCTTCTGATGGCTTTTGTTTGTTGCAGCATTCCAGTGTTTCACAGTTGTATATTAATTTTCATCTTGCTTTCTAAGGTAGAGAATAGCATTCTCTTGGGCTTTCCAAAGCTTAAAGAAATGTTAAAACACAAGAAAGAGCTAGTATAGAATTAACACTAGTTGATAGTTCAGGAGAGTGGTGGCAGGAAGGTGATTTGTGTGACTTGTAGGTAACTGGAAACATCTTGGCTGTGATGGATTAGGGGATAATATCTGGCCTTCTGTATAGACTTTCATTTTAACATCAAAAAGCAAAAATGTTTTGCTGAACATGCTATGTTCAGCATCTTAAAAAATAAGTGGTACAACCAGGTCTTGTAAATCTTCATCATCCTGGCTTCCAAGAGCTGTTTTCCTAGTTTCCTCCACTTGCCTAAGTAGTGCTCAGAAAATCAGTGATACAGTGAATTTTCTTTAATACTAAGGTCGCTCTGGTGTTAATGCAAATTACTTTTTGCATAGGGTGTCGGAAATGCAGGACTGGGATCCAACCATCCTTCATTGTCTACTTAACCAATACTAACTAGCTAACATAGAGCATTTAAATGCTCTATATGCAGTATCTCTTCATTCTTAGGAGAATTCTGTAGGTTAGGTACTATTTCTATCACATTTCAGGTGATAATGTAAAGATCCAAAGAAGCGAAATAATTTGAGCCCAGGTAGGCTAACCCCCAGCGAGACTCGGCGTGAAAGCAGATTGGGACTGCCCTCTTCCAGCCTCTTCCCATCAGCTCAAGCCAGGAGTATACTGCAGTTTGAGAGCAGAAAAACGCCTAGGGAGGCTTGTTAAAATGCCGATTCCAAGATCCACCCCCGGGGAATCTGGAGTATTAACAAACACCCTAAGTGATAATGATATACATGGGGAAACTGCGTTCAAACAGATTAATCTGTTTTCCGAGCGCTGTGGCGGGCCGGCGGGGCTGAGCGCGGACAGATGCTGCCCTCTGGCGGTCGCGCCGGCGCAGTGCAACCCCAGGCCGCGGCTGCGCAGTGCCGCCCTCTGGCGGCTCCGCTCCTTCTTCCCATCGGCCTCGGCTTGCGGGCCTTTCAAACATGGAGGAGCGGGAGCGGGGGGCGAGGTCGGCTCTCGCCGGGAGCCCCGCGCGCCCGCTCAGCCCGCGGCTGGATGTCAGCTCTGACAGCTTCGACCCTCTGCTGGCCCTGTACGCGCCCCGCCTGCCGCCCATCCCCTACCCCAACGCACCCTGCTTCAACAACCTGGCCGAGTACGAGAGCTTCCTCAGGACCGGGGTCCGGGGCGGC